TACTTCCTCGATCCCCACTGCGCGCTAGCGCAGAAGCCCGGAAGCACCTTGGCGGAAATTTCCTGGAAATTTCGGAAATTTCCACCTTGAAATTTCCAAACACAGAACATCGTGCTGAATTTCCACTCACATCACACCCTGGAGGCACGCATATCACGCACTGTACCCTTGAACCATCGGCGCACAGGTCGTCGCCGTTGAGGATAAACTACATCATACAGGACTCTAAATCTCATATCAATCAAACTCGGCAACTCGTAGATAATCGGATCAGACGATGATGAGTCAGTCCCATCAGGCGCAACATTCTATCCGCACAGGTTTGTCCAGTATCTGGTTAGGCTGGGAGTGAGAACATCCAGGAAGATCAGAGGATGATGACATGAATCGTGGGTCCAATGTCCTTCAGAGACCCCAACGACTGCCATAGTAATCCGTCGCTGATCCGGGGAGATTGAGCAATCGTTAGCATACGTAAATATGGAATTATCTGCATATCCGACCCATTTGAGCGCCCGTTGACCCGCAATGGCCACATAGTAAGGTAGTGTACCATTGTACCGTAGTACGGTAACCGTGCGTACGGAGTTTTGCGCTTAAAGATTAAAACACTGCTGAACTTCTAAGCCTGATGAACTCTACTACATACTCGAGTAAGAGACATCATTGCCTAACAAGGACTCATGGAGAAAAATATTCAGCAGGTTAAGCATTGCGAGTTATCAAGAGTTCCATGGCATCATGTAAGTAGCGATTAGCAGAAAGCTGGAAACTCATCCGAGTACAAACATAGTATGACATTGTGAACGTTCTGAAAAGCATGTGGAAGAGCTGTCTCCCTGACGAGCTCTTTCGACTCTTGGAGCACCTCCCGTAGCGCAAAGACCTGTGGTGAGTGAGAAGACGAATATTTTCCACTGGAAAATTTCCAGTTTCGTACCGATCCAGCGAACGGCACATAATTCGCACGTGGTGGAGGTGGGTGGTGGATTATCCTGAAAAGTTGAAAGCCGGGCAATGGATACGAATGTTATATGAGTGTCACGTTAAGTCACATGCATCAATAGATCTTGA